AAAAGGCCATGGGACATTTAAATGCGACGGTTTGGCCAAAATGATTATCTAAAAAGGTTTTTAAACAGAAAAGTAGGAGTCGCCACTTGGTATTGAGTTGGGGTACCAAGTCACCCAAAAAAAGTAGTTTTTGAAAAAATAAAGTAAAACCTTTTTAGATGACTCCTAGTCTACGAAAATCAAAGAGACGAGTTCGGAGGTCACGGTTGATAAAAGGGAAGGCAAAGACGAAGTCTAAGGCACCCTTTTACCCTAGTCTAAGTTAGTTGCGTGACTTAGTGACAATTTTCCTAATTTTACCCAAGAGATGTATTGCATTTTGGATGTGTCTAACATGAATGCAAACCTAAATCTAATGTTTGGTTTGAATGGGACAAAATGTCTTTTTTGAGGCTCGATTGGTCCTAATCACATGAATTGTGATAGCCAATGGTGAACCCTCAAAGAGGTCACGAATAAATCCAAATGAATGCTCGAATAATCATGAGAAAAAAATGAGTGTGTGCGAAAATGTTTTTGAGTGTAAAAGCGAGTGCCAAGTGCAAATGTGCAAAGTGCAAGTGTGTGAATGGGTGTGTAAAGTGCAAGGGTGCAAATGAGTATGCACGTATACAAATGAGGGAGTGTGTAAGGTGCGGGTGTGCAAATGAGTATGTAAAAGTGTAAATGTGTAGATGTGAGAGAGTGTAAAGTGAAGTGAGAGTGAAAAGTGATAGTTGGTAAAGTGGTAGTGTGCGGAGTGAGAATGTATAAAGTGAGAGTGTGTGAAGTGATAATGAAAAAGTGATAGTGTAAAGTGGGAGTGTGCAAATGGTAATGTGCCTTGGCAATGCATGAGCCCTAAAGGAATGCAAAAAAAACGGGTACGGGGAGACCCTAAATCGTGACTTTTGATTTGCCTTTTGGTTAGAAAGAAAACAAGCGTGCTAAGGCTATGTGTAGCCATACTCGTCTATTTCTCTTACCAAAAGAGTAACTCCTTAACCTAATCAAGCAGATGACCCTAATAACTAGAATGAAATGCAAAGTCCGTGTGGAAAGAGGGTAAGGGTTCATGCAAAGTGTAAAATACTAAAAGGAAAAAAAAATGAATGAAATGTAGTGAAGGCATGCGAGTATGTACTAGCGAGGGGCGGCCCTATTAGCATTGGACTAGCCCTCTACTAACGTTCTCTCACAAGCATTGGACTTGTAAGAACTCGAGGGGAAGAGCATGACTAGCATTGGACTAACCACGGTAACGTACATTCCATCGACATAATCAGATATAATATTAAAGCAACTAGACATGCAAAGCACATAGTTTCACATAGCACGTAGCATATAAGCATGCTTATCTAGATGCAGAAACCTAGGGAAAGCAACTAAACACATAGCATATAGGCATCCACAAACACATAGCACACAAGCCCTATCTATTACAAAAGGGGATGCCTAATACAATCTAAGGGGGGAAGACTTAGAAAATAATATCCTAACTATTACAAATTGGGATTCAAATGCCCTCAAATGACTTGCTAATTAAAGAAAGCAAAATAAAAGGAAAGCGAAGCAAGCAATTAAACCATTAATAAAAATGAAAAGCGAATTAAAGCATGCATATTCACACAAAACACGTAGGAGCACGTAGGAAAAAAAAGAAATTAAAAAATAAAATAAAATGAAAGGGATAGAGGTTACCTCCCTTGCAATGGTAATCAAATGAAGAGAAAATTATTTTCAAAACAATAAAAAGGTCAAGGCACCACTTTAATTAACAAAACAATCATAAAAGACAAACAAGAATTTAAGCAAGCAAGGACTTAATTGCAAGAAATCAGAACATAATTGGGCCTTTGCGGCATAGATGGGAGCTAAAGGGAGCAAAGTGCAATTTTTGAAAGCTATTTTGCATGCAAATTCCATGCAAATCACGCAAGAGAAGAGTTTCTGCAATTTCCTTTGCTGCTTTCTTTTACTTTAGCCGAACTGTGTTGGCGTGCACAAGCTCAAACAGATTTCTACTAGTTTAACAACCAAACACAATTACAAGGACTTCATACCATTGCCGTTAACATGATCATCTATCCTAGAAGACTCAATCAAAGCAACTGGACCAGAAATGCAACAAAGAAAGGAGTGAAACTTGTGATAAAGTAGACAGACCATCCCAATCAATCAGCAAGCAAGTCAAGAACCATAAACGAGCTAAAACCCCAGCAACCGAAGTAAGGAAAAGGATTTGTAGACACCACTGCAAGCCTAAACTATGCAACTCAGGTCAAAGTGCAGCAAAAATGGACATCAGCTCATGAATTGCAATATTAACTCCATAATTCCTATGTTAATCTACTTCGATACAACTCGTCAAGTAAATATGGGACTGAAAAGGCTGACTTCCAGCATGCAATGGACATTAACAAAGGGATCACAACATGGATGAAACATGGAAGAATGCTCGTCCAGTTACTTCGGAATAGAAACAGAAGAGCGAACAATAACAACGAACAAGCAACTCAAAATCATGACCCAAAAATAAATGAAGATGAAAGGAACTAAGGCATCAGTGTAGAGGAGTACCTGATGTAGCTCTTTGAATCGCAATCAGGACAAGAAACGCCGTGAAAGAGCTGCTGAAGTTGTCCCGTTACGGCTCCGAACCCGTACCAGCGAAGTTAAGCAGCGGTCTTTGGGGGGCAAATTCGAAGGCTTTATCAATGTCTTCTGCTAACGATTTCTGAACGAAACCTTCTTCCCTTACCTCCTAGTTGGTGCAGAACTTGAAAATTTCTTGACATAATCAAAGACTGAAGAGATATTCGATCTGAAACATGGCTTATAATCAGCCTTTGTTGAAAAAATTGCAGCTTTTCATTCTTTCTCTCTTTCGAATCTCTCTTCCAACCCTTGTTCCTCTGATTCTTCCCAGATCCTTCCCTAACAGATCCTCCTTGCTCCCTTTCTTTCCTTTCTCTCTAGCTCTTTCTGGTTTTCTCTCTCAAACCACCGAAAATCTCTCTACCAGTTTTCTCTCTTGCATGCCCTCTCCCACTCTCAAAGCTTTCTCTTTTTCAGCCGTCACTTGATTGTTCATTTTAGCCATCAGCCCCCTCAACTCTCTCCAGCCGTTCCCCAGATTCTTTTCATCCGCCGTTCTTTCCTTCAGCCGTCCACTAGCCCCCTTCTCCTGAACCCTTAGCTTTCCTTTTATATCCCCTTTTAACCCTTAAACCTCATCTTAATGGTCCATAAACAATGTCAGCTTAACGCCTCTCCCTCAACCATTAGATTATTCTCACTTTCCAGGTTCTTCTCGGGTGGTAGATGAGAGCCAAGTGGAATGGATCAAGTGATCCAGTGGTGAAGAAAAATGATAGAAAGAAATGGAGGAAACAAAAATGGAAAGGGAGCTGGAATTTTTCTACGCATGTTTTCTGATATAAAATTGAGGAGGGGCTTGGATCGTGTGCATCTCAGGGTGCGTGAGCTTGTTCCCTTTTTTTAATTTAATTTTTTTAAATTTTTTAAATTAACGATAATAATAAGGAAATGATTAAAAAGATTTTTTTTTGGAAATTTTCTTTTTCTGAAATTTAATACTTAAAATGTCTTAAAAATAAAAATAAGAGACTAAAAATAAATAATAACTAAAAATAAAAATAATAGTAAATAAAATTAAATTAAAAATTTGGTGTCTACAATTAGAAACTAGAAAAACCCTATTCTAATCAAAAAACACATTAGTAAAGTTTATTTAACAAAAACAAAACAAGCAGATAGCCTTATACGAGCAAGCAAGGTTTAGCATGCTCTTAATACTTTCTACAAACAGAATGCCTGTTTTACTTTAATACGAACCAGTGAACCACAATAGCGCAACGGATCCTCTGTACCACACCCTGTCTCACACCCTATCCCACTCTTCCTAAATTTGCCAAGTGTCCTTTTATAAACCAAATCCTGAAACAACCCAAATCGAACCATGTTCAATTAATTAACCGATTAATCGGGTTGAGAAACTTAATCACTATAACCAAAATCGATTAAAATAAAAAATCAAAAAATAAAATTAAAGATTAAACAAGGCACAAAAAAAAAACCCCACAAGGCCACGAAATCAGAATCCCATCAGATTTCACTCCTTCTCAAAAGCTTCATCGCAAATATCACTCATCAGCTCATCAGAGATCACTCACAATTCAAATGCCTGGTGGCATGATTTCGGCCGATGATCATATGTTATGTCCTCCGTCACGAAGTGGAAGGAAATCTGATGGGATTCTGATGGCCGTGTGAAAGCACAAAAATCGCCTACGTTTTACCCAGACTCAGGTTATGCTCCATCTCGGAACCTTGAGGGGTTAGGAGTAAAGCATCCCAAGGTTGGCGCATCTCTAATAGCGTGGAGAAACATTGGGAACCCCAATTTCGTGGTCATTCTTCGGAGCCCACACTTTAGATTATGAGTGATCAATGGGCAATTGGATGAAGCTCCCCACCTGTTCGATCAAATGCCTAGGCGTCATGAATCATTTTTTCCGAAGGTTTTTCTTGCCTTTGTTTTCCCGCAGTTTTCTAAGCCCATTATTCTGTCATTCAGATTTATTGTGACTCCTTTCTGAAATCTGTTCTCAAATTATAGCTGTCATAGCCTTTAACTGTGATGGTTGGTTGATACTCACTTATATAATGATGTGCAGCAGATTAGTCAATTGAGTTGAATGATGAAGTTGATGATGTTGTCTACTTAGCTAATCTCTGTGTTGTTTCTATAATTCTTACATATAGTTAAGTGCGATCTGCCATGCCAAAGAGGTTTTAGAGGAAAACGGGACATGATTGTTTTGGTGAGGACATGCTTGAGCCAAGGGAAACTGATATACCAGCTTTGTTTCTGGTCTTTGTTGTGCTTCCCCTGGTTACATATATCTTGCTAGGAAAATGGAGCAAGTCAACGAAAAAAAAAGAGGGTTAGCTTGCTTACTCAACAGGCAGCTGAAGAATCTCTTGGAGTTGAAGCAATGACTGCTACTACTGTTGTCCCTGTGTTATGCTTGCCAAACAATTCAGAAAGTTTCTCTGTGCAGGATGCTTTGGTCAAAGTACAACTCGTTGTAAACGGTGCAAGTCTGTTTGGTACTGGTATGATCTTAGTGTTGGTTTTGAGCACATTTGCAAGTAATTTGTATCTGCATATACTGTAAGAATATAAAACTGCGGTTAATTGCGGTATTCTATAATTCTTACTGAACAAGTTTTGCTAGAATGCATAACAAAATTACAGTGATTTAAAATAAAGGATTTGGAAAGATATATCTAATTATTCTTAGTTTTATTCCTAAAAAATGTATCTAGCTGTTCTCTTCTGAGGCTTAAGAGTAATTGTTATGAGTCTAGTAAGTCTGAAAGAAGCATCATTTTCTGATTTGTCCCTGCTGATCTGTGATGTTTACTTAACAAATGGTTATGAAACAGAAATTAATCGAACAAAGGATGCTGGCCCTTCACAAGGAAGTAATGGGGTTACTGGCATGGGAATTATGAAGATGATTGGCTTCATGAAGCCTTCAAAACTTGAGAGACTAGAGACTTCAGAAGTAAATTCTGACCAGCATAAGAAAGTTAAGGTCTGAATTATAGGAGCAGTTCTATTATCATTTAAACAGATAGAGCAAAAATATTAAATAGGAGTAATGCATCTGTTTGAAACATTTCAGCAAAGATTTTGTTTGCCAGTTCTTAAGCTGCTTGATTGATGAATCTAAATGATGTATTCTGGGGGTAGTCATTCATGAAAGTTTATGGATATATTTTTTTCTTTTATTTCACAGATGCTATTTCCGTATGAAGATTTTGTGAAGTTCTTTCAGTATGAAGTTTTCAACATGTCTCCAAGAGGTCTTATAAATTGTGGAAACAGGTATTTCTTCAAAATTTTTCCTGCTTTTCTTGTGCTTTTACATATCAATAGATCTAGAAAAATTTTATAGATATAGGAAATGTACAGACTCTTAATGCAATAATGTACTGAAACAAATTTCATAGGGTTTTTTATTATTTGTCAAGTATATTCAAGATTTCTTTCATTTTACTGTGCAGTTGTTATGCCAATGCTGTATTGCAGTGTCTGACCAGCACAAAGCCTCTCCTTGTGTTTCTGCTTCAGAGATTGCATTCTAGAGCTTGTTACGATTGGTTTGATTTACAATGTCTTGCTTTTGCATTCTAGAGACTTCAGAAGTAAATTCTGCTTCAGAGATTGCATTCTAGAGCTTGTTACGATTGGTTTGATTTACAATGTCTTGCTTTTGCATTCTAGAGACTTCAGAAGTAAATTCTGCTTCAGAGATTGCATTCTAGGGGTTCATGTTATTTCGATCTACTACTATTACTGAATAAGGGGTTGGCATGCTTCTCTTCAGTGTTCGCGTGTTTTAAGCATATATTGTTGCAGTATCTTTGAGAGGAAATAAATAGACTAGAGCTATGCAGACTCAAGTTAATTGTGTGTGCGATCGTCAGCCTTTTGCTTTGATTGTAAGATGATAAGTGAAATCCCAAATACCTGGGAAGGTGTTGTGGATATTCCCCTTGTCTGATTAAGTGTAGCTAAGACGTTATTTCATGTCAAAGTTGAAAATTATTGGCTTTGGTCTCCATGGCTTGCTTTTGTGGCTTTAAAACATAACATTACGGTTTGATTCCGCAATTCTAGTTCATTATGTCTTGCACGTCAATATAAATTTTGTATAGCAATTTTTTCATTCTAGTTCATTTTCTCTACGACTTTTAGCACTATTTGAATTTTGGCAGCATAATCATCAATTTCATTGTGCTCAAACCTCAGAAAGAGGAAAACAAAATATGGAATGATGTGTATAAAAATCTATGATCCCTCTTCTACAAGGGAACAGAAAGAAAATAGTAGATAGATTCCGAGGTGTATAAATGTATAACTTCACACCATCCAAGATTTTTGCACTGATCATTCATCTTTAGCAACTTGTTGATCACTATCATCATTATTTCCCAGTTCTTGTGCCTACAAAAAACAAATGCTAAGTTAGCAAATGTATTGAATTATAAGTGTAACTTATCAAACTAATATATGCAGACAAACTCTTCACAGTGCATACAGTGCATTATTCTTGATCCCATATACATATACCAACCCTAAATACATCAAATTTGGATGATCTGATTATGAAAAGCAGAAAAAGGTTATTGTCAGCAGTTTTTTCGTTCGGTAGATCAACTTGCACCAGATTATCAAAGTCATCTTTTATAGAATTGTTCACTCCACTTGACTTTTCTACATGTAAAATATAAAAACATCCCTACATTTCATTTTAATCACAGTTTGATAGCAAGGGAGTGATAGTGAACTCCATGAAGGATGAATATTTTTGTCTAGCTCAAATAATAAAAAATGTCAACGGAAGTGCCAATAATAACTCCTAATTTCATATCCAAAATAATAACTCCTGATTATGAAGGATGAATATAAGATTAAGTAATTAATCAAGGTTTTTTTTTACTTGGACAAAACTCATTGACGCTACTAGTGTGCTATTGAACTTGAAGACATCAAATCATAGCCTTGGTAGAAGTTAGGGTCTAACGTCTACCCAAAAAATAAGAAATAGAAGACCACCCTTCATTATAAAAATAGCTATAAACTTGTAAAAATATAATACTAGAAAAAATTAATATAAATAAGAAACATTAGTTCTCGTCCACCAACTTGTTTCGACATCAGTTCAATCGATTGTTTTGGTGTAATTCCGCAACTTCGGGCCATATCTATTTCAGCTTCGTGTGCCATTGTCACGTGTCTATGAGATCTGAATAAATGAGTTTTGCTTGGAGTTGATAGCTCATGATTATGTTCAGCAACAAATTGCACAACACGGTATTTTCCACCTTGTCTACAGCTAATTTTCATCCTTGCACTACAATCACATCTTGTTTCTGGACGAGGACACTTAACAATAATATTGCGTTTGTCTTTTGGCTTTTTTCCTTCACGAGAGTAGCAAAAAACCCTGTCCAACATCAAATCACTATTTTTGTCTTTATGTCCCTTACTCAATCGAGTTCCAAAACCAGATGCTTTAGTATATTTTTGATAAAAATTTTTGGCTGCTATTTCAGTATCGAATTCCATGCCAAGTTTCGGGACCAAGTCATCTGGTATAGCCAAAGGAAGAAAAATTTGATTTCCTAGATTGCCATCAGTAATACAAAGAGGTAAGGTATTATCATTTATTTCCTGCAAGTCAACATCTCCTAAGTCCAATTTATGACATGATTAGACTTCATGAGTTGGCAAATAATTCTCCATATTCCCCTAAAACCCAACAAATGACCTGTATCATGGACCACAGGAAATGAAAAGCAGAAAGAAATTTGCATGCTAGTCACTGCAAGATGCATTACACGAAGAATTGTTAAGGACATAATTAAATACTATAGAGTGATGATTTAGTGTATAAAAGTTAAGGACATAATTGTCTAATAATAGTATAGGGTGTGAATTTAGTATGCAGGGATGTGGATTTAGCCCATCCCACTTACTTATTATGCATATCCTATAAGTCTGTATACATATTTTTTTACTATTGAAATCAAATTACCGAATACAAATACATAATTTGTTACCCCCTTTGGTGATTCTATATTTAATATTCTTCTTATTAACCAAATTCTTAATTTGGTTTTGTAATAGTTAAAAGCCTGGATAGATATTTTCTCCTTTGTCATTAAATAAATTACCATCTATAAATAAATAATTCATGTCTTCGGTTCAGACTACGAAAAAGCATTTCAGATTATAGTCTAATTTGTGCTTGACAGATTTTTCCTTCATAAAGTGGAATACTTTTGTCCATTTACTGTGTATATAACCTTTCTGGATGATTAACAACTGTTCAATCTATCGTTTATGATCTCATGCTACCGGTCTTGCTTCATAGTCTATTCATGCATGCATTCTATGGTACAGTATCATTACTCAGGAATTTACTATTGAAGGTCCTCTTTAATGCACTTTTAAGTGTTTCTTACCTTTTTGTTCCAACTTAATGTATAGAGAAATAGCTTGATTGTGTTTCTTGGTTTACTGCCCTACTCTTCTTCAACACATCCCGGTGGAAAAACTATACGGTTTGCACTTATTCTTGTTTACAACTATTGTTTGACTCATATTATTTTAATGTTGCTATTCCTGTAATGTTCTGTTCGCATAAGTCACTCATAAATGAACAAAAGCAGGAAATGAAAAGCAAAAAAAAATTTGCATGCTAGTCACTGCAAGATGCATTACACGAAGAAAGACATAATTAAAGTTTCAAACTAAAAATTCTAGTCACCTAAATTAACTTATTAGACACAAAGGGTCAGATTTGGTATTCATGGATTACTGGGAAAACCATAAAGGCAATTCTTACTAACCAATGATCGAGAAAGCAATGGGAAAACGTAAGCCATAGTCTGCCAACCATTGTAGTGCATAGAGATCCGTTTACACCAACAGATCATCTCATAACCATCTAACTTAACAAGAAAAAGGCAACCCAAAAAAACTAAACAGGACAAAAAATTCAGAATTTTTACGCCAATGGATTAACATTCCACGCCCTACACTGCGATTCTTGAGCTAGCTTCTGCAGAATATCTACACAATGACCCTAATTAAATTTACAAGTTAACATGGAATCGTGCGCCGTGTGAAAGCCACCACAAATGTCTCATCTTTTATTTGACATATAAAAAGCAACAAGACGCATCAACAGGTACAATACAAACACAAAAAGCACAAAAATGTTTGAACAAAAAACATCTTAAGCAAATAGATCTTCAATCAACAGAGACCCAAAAAAAGAAATCCCGAAACTTAACGACTGAGGAAAAGAGTAAGTATTTGAAGGAACCCATCAATCCCTTTGCATAAATTCTTTGAGTTCAGAGGCTTCAGGTTGACTTCAGAGGCTTGTGTTGATGTTTACATGAATAACGCAATTCGTTGCATATGAAGCGGCACATGAATAACGCAATTCGTTGCATATGAAGAGTACTTATTTGGGAGAAAACATTGCATATGAAGAGTACTTATTTGAAGGAAAATTCACCTACGTACCTTGTTCCGTTGAAGACTAGCTTTAGTTTAGGAGAAAAGGCTTTAGTTCCGAGATGACGAAAGTGTAAATCTGTGGCCTGCTGCGTTGCGATAAAGCTTTTGAGGAGGAGTGAAATCTGATGGGATTCTGATTTCGTGGCCTTGTGGGGTTTTTTTTTGTGCCTTGTTTAATCTTTAATTTTGTTTTTTGGGTTTTTATTTTAATCGATTTTGGTTATAGTGATTAAGTTTCTCAGCCCGATTAATCGGTTAATTAATTAAACATGGTTCGAGTTGGGTTGTTTCAGGGTTTGGTTTATAATAGGACACTTGGCAAGTTTAGAAGGGGTGGGATAGGGTGTGAGACAGGGTATGGTACAGAGGATCCGTTGCGACCACAATAATGAGGATGACCGCATTCCATGCAGTAGTACAGATTCTCGTTCCAACCCTTCACAAGCTTAAATAATTAATTTTGTAAATTGCAGCTACCTTCATCTCACCTTTTTCACTTGCTTTCGATACACTCTTTTGTTCAGACTTTTTAACAGAGGTGGCAATTTGAATCCATATCCACTTATCCATCCACACAAACAAAGCTTAAAATGGATTCGGATGATCAAAAACACTTAATGACTTTAAGTGGACTACCATTTCAACCCAGTTAATTTGGTGGATTTAGATGGGATATCCATGTCATTTATAAAAATTAAATTATCAAAAAAAGAATGGAATCGACTCACTGAAAAGAGGGAAAAAGAGGAAAAGATAATTATAACAGACAAATTAGTGTAAAGTAAGAGTGGTTTAAGGTTGATGACTTGGGAAGGGTCTGGATTACGATCAGTGAGGAAGTGGCTCTTGAGAATTAAGACTTATAGTTGGTCTAGGTATGTTAGAGTGTCAGCCTTGTCAGCATTACATCCTTGAGATAAACAACACTGAAACTTTGGATAGTTTATAAACAGCACTGAAACACTGAAAGTGTCCGTGGATAGTTTATAGAGTGTCAGCTTGTTGTCCATGTCAACTTTGGTTGGAGGACAAAAACTAGTTGTTTGTATTTCAATTATAAAATGTTTGTAATTGGATAGGATTATTTTAATCCACTG